CCCCAAAACCCCAAAACCCCAAAACCCCAAAACCCCAAAACCCCGATGAATAGGTAAGTGATTGAGCAGCAAGTTATATAATGAACTTTAGCTTACTCGTTAATGAACTTTTCCTTGTCGTAGATCTTTCTGTAGAGTCCATTATAGCTTGAGATCAATTCAGAACTCTTGAATGGGACATCTGGGGGAGTAAATCCAGCAGAAGTGGATTTTAAATTGGTGTTTAATCTCTCCCACTTAGAGTCCAATCCATTTCTTTTCTCGACATTGGGCTTGACGATGAACCGTCTATCATCGGTCTTAGAAATTTGCTGAGCCTCGTCAAAGGCTGCAGAATCTATTTCCTTGAGGATGACCTTGAGAGCAATCAAACTCTCTTGTAAGATCTTATGCCAATGATTTTCAGATAGTTCCACAATGACAGGAACCAACATTGGGAATGTGACATCTTTATAAATTCTTAGCTTAGTGAGGAAATAATCGTTCTCAAAGAAGCACATGGCTCTATCAGCGACTTGCAAATGGGTGCCTCCAATGCATCTAACAATTCTTCTGAAGAGTGGTACTACAAGGTCTCCGATCTTGTCATCATCAACTATCTCGAGCACTTCTTGCAGTTCTGTCAGAAAGAGGGTTTCCTTAACACAGTTAGCGAATGGCCAATATTTTAGTAAGCCTCTGAGGAGAGTAATGGCTAGAGACTTATCCTTAGTCAGGAAAAGCATTGAGCACCTCAAGAGCTGCTCGAAGAACTCTGAACAAGTCTGAACTTTGTGTAGAGGGATGATAATGTTATTGAAAAATATAACATGTTCTTCTCTCAATGGCACAGCAAACCCTGAAATAATAGAGGCCAAAATGTCGAGTAATTCAGAAGCACCATTGAACTTATGTCCCTCGTGGATCAACTGATAGAAGGCCTCGTTGATTGCCTTCCTGATCATTTTTCTTCTAGGAACAAGTTTAGCGTAGAGTTTGTGAAGGATATTTTTGAGGTAGTCTCTTTCTACAGCTTCTTCACTATCGAAAAGTTCTAAGAACCTTCCAACAAATTCAGGGGTGACATATCCTTTCAAAAGTTTGACCTCGATGGAATCGTTCATGATTAATTGCAAGAAGAACTCGTAAATCCCTTGCAAATGAGGCCAAGCAGGGTCAGTTTCTTCCTCTTGGTCAATACCAGTCTCAGAGAAAGCGAGGTTACTCTTCTTAATGTTCGGCAAACATCTGAAAATGTTCTTCTCGATCATCTGCATGCAAGAATCCAAGTTTGGAATAATCAGCTGGCTCACGGTCTTTTGGTCCTGTAACAGATTCTGGAGCTCGTTGATAGCGCTGAGTCTCTCGCTCTTTCCTTTAACTTCTTTGGTTTCGTCAGCGTAGTCATAAACTTTCATGGCAGCATCGATCTTTTTCAAGAATCCTTCTTTGGCGCTCTTAGATCTAGATCCTTTAACTCTCTTGTCTTTCTTTGAGCTCTTTGTATTCATTTAATTTTATAATTTCAGTAATCTTTTTAAGCTATGGGGTTTTGGGGTTTTGGGGTTTTGGGGTTTTGGGGTTTTGGGGTTTTGGGGTTTTGGGG